GCTCCCCACTCTGTCTCTGGTGAATTCTCTCACTGCCCCTGCACCTCTGGCCTGTACCCCAGTTCTGTATGCATAAATAAATAAATCTTTAAAAAAAAAGTTAGATGTGAGAGAGAATAGAGACAGCTAGATACTTGAATTCCATTGTCAGCACATTAATATCTCCCACCAGTGAGGTTTATAGAAATTCACTCAACTTCTCAAAGACAACACTCTACTCTACTGCTTGAAAAATCTCACTCCACTAGGAGGAAACAGATTCCCACTCTTGGAATATTTGACATCCCACTGCCTCTGCAGCTTTTACCTCTTCAAGGATCACAAGCATTTAGAACGTCTTCCCACTGCAGCATGCACTTCCCCAGAGCTCCTGAAGCTGTCCTCGGACCATGCTTATAACAGCAGGGGTCAGCTCCCACCTTCGGTTTCCTTCGGACACACCCCCAAGTGCCCCAATGTTTGAGCTGCCCTGAGTTGTCCTTCCCTGGAGGGCTCTCCCCATCGGAAAGGAAACCTCCACTCCCCACCCCTGATCTTATTCTGGTGCATTAACCCAGAACAGAAAAGCTTCTGAACTCCCACCAACGGAACAAATCAGAATTCTGGTGTCTACGAAAGGCTTCTTATCCTTCTCAGGTGTGTACACACTTATTTAAGGTTTTAAAGATGGGGTATTTTGACCTGTGTTGGACATTTTGAAGACAAGGTAGAGTCGTAATGAAGGCAATGACATCTACAAGTGACGTTTCCATGCCAGCTACAACTCCAGTGGGCAGAGTCATGAGAGTGACCCCAGGAGAGCAGACAGAAATGCTGAGAGCGCACAGGTTTTTAAAGGCTAAGAGATGATCAAGTTCAGACAAATATCTGAAGCTTAAGTGTTTACCTTGGAATGGAATTCCCTGTGCGATGACTAGCAAAGGACCCGTGTTGACATATTTGTTAGAAGTGAAAAATGATGATGGCAGACTTTTTTTTTTTTTTCGGTTGATTGGTTTGACAAGAGCCTTCCATTGCCAATTAGGAAACAGGAAGGACTTCTTCCCTGAAATAGATGAGCTAAGTCAGCAGCTACAGGTTTCAGAAACTGTACTAAAGGCATGTGCTAATATAAAAGGTACATTCTAATAATGTATCTGAAATATAGTGTTCCAACTGTTAATAAGAACGTAAGTAACTCCATCAAAAAATGAGATAAAGGCCCTCCCTGGTGGCATAGCGGGTTAAAGCACAGCACTAAGAAGCTAAAGCCACTTCCGCATGAGTTTGATCCCCGCCTGCCCCGGAGGCGACCACAGGGCACGGCAGACCTCTCCTGACCCGCCCGCTGCTCCCCTAAGCAGTTGACTTCGTCGATCTGCCTGTTCTGCTCCCCACTCTGTCTCTGGTGAAGCCTCTC